AGTGTGTCTCCAGAGTCCCCACGCGTCTCTCTGCCCAGCACAGCAGCCACCGCGTGCGCACACCCGGGCATCCTCAACCTGTTCAGGCCTCTGTCTTTCCTGCAAACTGCCCGTCAGCTCTCCCTCTGGATCCAGGGTTTCCTGGAGGAGGCGATGGAGAAACCGAGACCCTCCCCGGGAGACCTGGTTGCCCCAAGCATCGCCGGTGAGGCAACACCGGTCCCTCCCGGGGACCTGGTCAGCCCCAACTGAGCCAGACCTGCCCCTTTACTGCTCACTCCCAGATCTCCAATTAATTTTGGGGTCAGGAGCCTCCACTCAGAGGCAGAGGAACAACAGAGCCCAGCGGGGCTGAAGCTCGTTTTACCCTGGCCCAGCACGGGTCCGCAGGCAAACCCCGCTCTCAGCATCCTCAGCAGCGGCTGTAGCATCTCTATGCGCTCTCCAAGAAGCCTGGAAAAAAATTGCTCCAACGTTGGGCTGCTTTAAAGAACATAACCCCAAGCAAAGCAGCTCCCAAGGTCCAAGAGTCACTGGTGAAGGAGGCCACTGTCCCGTCCCCGGCCACAGGGGACGTACAAAGTTTTGACCTGGCTCCGGGAGACGAGCCCCACTCTAGAGGGCAAAGCCAGCAGCTGCCAGAAAGGTGGGTCTCCTCTTCGCCCAAGGGTGCCCGACCGGCCCGCTGGGCTGCAGGTGGGCGCCGGACGCCTCTGCACCCGAGGGAAGCACTGGGCTCGCAGGGGCTCAGTACCAGGGGTCTGCCCGGTGCTGCTGATTGTAGAGCTGCAGCTTGATCTGGTCTTTGATCTGGTTGACGAGGATCTGAGAGAGCAGGATCCCCACCAGCTGCAAGAGAGGAGAGGGCGCCGAGTGCTGCGACCTGCCCAGGGCTGAGGGGCACCGCTTCACCCACGGCGTGATCCGCTCCTGCGCTTACGAGCGGTTCGCGTGGCCCGAGCTGAAGACGCGCCCTCCATTTGCACAAATTTACCCCACCTCAAATAAATCCTGCCCGAGCCCCTATCCCCCCAGCCCCAACTCACTCCCTGCCATCG